AAAAAAAAAAAAAGAACAAACAGATCTGCGTTGGAAGAAGTAGAACCAGAATGATCCCTGGAGGCAAGGATAGCGAGACTTTGCCGCATGAACTTTGGACATCTAAGGAAAGGCTAGTCCCTGGAGCAGTATGTCAGGCTCGGTGAAGATGAGGGGTCACGATAAAGATGAGGCCTTCAACAAGACGGATTGAAACAGTCGCTGCAATAATGGACACAAACCTAAGAACAACTGTGAGGCTAGCGCAGGAGCGGGTAGTTCTTCGTTCCATTGTGCATCATGTTGCTATGAGTCGGAATTGACTCAACGGCACCTACCAATAACAATGACAGTTCAACTCTGAGCATTTGATAACATGCGTTGAAGCCTTGTCACTTAGCTTAGTCTTTTACCTCAAACTTTAAGCAGGTTTTTTTTTCCTTTAAGCAGTTTTTAGGCTGTTCTTTTGTTTTTTGGAGTATTTGTACAGTAGTGTGTGAGCCGTTTGGTAATAGGTTTGGCATCTTACATTTCTGAATCCCTAGCATCTTGTAAAAGTGCCTTGCACATGGTTGGAACTCAAATGTTTAACTGTGTAAAGGAATGTAAAATATATTAATCTTTCATGGAGAAATGAGTTTTAATATTTCAAGGTAAGGCTTTATCTCAAAGGATAAATGTTTTTCTGTTTCCTAAGGAAACATTATAAGGTTTGTATCCTAAACTCATTTTATTTTTGAGTTGTTTCTTCACCCCTTTTCATCTCTTTGTCTCTCACATGCAATGTTTTGATAGCACATGGTACAATATTCTAAAGTGGCAAAAGAGTAAATAGTAAGAAAAATGTTTTTAATTCTTGTCTTCAAGTCATCCATTTTCCTTTCCAGGAATTAATTATTCTTCCCAATGACTTTTGTTTTCTTCAGGAAATACTCCAAACATGAAAAAGCATACATAAATGAAAACATACTCCACACAATTTATTTTTGCTTGTTGTACTGCATAAATGATCACACCTTGTACATTTTTAACAAAAAGTTGTACTTTTATGTTTCTCTTTTATATGTTATTTTTCTCCTGGTGTGTAATATATTTGGATACTCTTTCCATAACAGTCATACTGACTTAGAGATTCTTAATTAGCTGTTCATCTAGAGTCCTAATTTCTGCCACATTAGAAGTTGTATATCAAGAGGGGAATGCAAGTGACAAGACCACAATCACAAGGTGCAAGAGATTTGTACTGCTGAAAAGGATGACAGAATTGAAGGCCATGAGTTGAGGTAGTAAAAGAAGTGAGACCAAAGAAGTAGTTCAAAATGAAATTCATTCTATGTACATGTATATACATTTATTTTTAATTATAAGTCTATAAACCCAGGGACAGGGAAACAACAAGCGATCCAAATTGGTAGGGAGGTGGGTGTGGGAGACCTGGTAGGG